CAACGTTTTTCATGATTTGTATACTGAATACTCATTACTAATTAGTTTATTAAATATACATTTGTTTCAATTAATTATATAACTATATATAATAAAAAATAAATGCTGTTCGTTGGTTAACGCATCGCTAGAGAAGGGCTGGATCAATTTGGCTAATCTATATAATATAAATAGGCAAAGACAAATAGTTAAGTACCTTTTCTCCTCTGTTTCATTCTCTGTTAACCGATTTTCATTTTTTTCAGTACTTTTAGCTATTGAAGAGCTTTAGCGTTTAATGTTTTTAATAAAAAAATTATTACGGTCAAAAACTATACTAATAATCTATTCAAATATTATAAAGAGAGGCAAGGTATGTTTGTTTGTACCAAATAGGCTCCGAAACTACTGAACTGATTTAGATAAAATATAGTAAGAAGATAGATTGAGACCCTGGGAAGGACGTAGGATAGTTTTTATCTCGACAATTATCTCTTAAGGTGGTGAAAATGGGGATGGAAATTTGTATGGGGAAGCAACCAGAGCAAAGCGAGGGTGAGTCGCTCATTCAAAATAAAGCGAAACAGATTTTTCCGATACGATATTTGCATATTATCAATGATCTAGATATACAATGCGTCTATTGGGTCAATGAGTATATGATATTACATTTGTACTATATTGGCTTTATTTTATTCTTATTTTCATTTTCATTTATTTTTATTTTCATACATATAACTACATTTTGTATTTCATAGAAATACATTAACAAGCAAAGTGTTTTTGCAAGTTTGAAACAAGTGAAGTTTTTTAATACCGTGTGATAACATATGAGGCTCTAAGCTTTGGCATATGAAAAAAGTTATTTTAATACTTGCGCTCGTAGTTTGTAACACTGTAATGGAATATTAGAATGTAAAGTAGCTCTGACTATATGGATTTTCATTCTATCAATTTTCGTAAATTTTTCAGTGTCGAATTAAAGAGAATGGGGATACGAGGGGGTTCAGGCTATAGTCCACCAATCTGACCAAGTGCAGGTTGACGGACTTCACACGTCTTTCGAAAACTTGCTAGGTTCGCTTATACAGGTTTTTCAAGATGTTTTCTTTCACCGTAAGATAAGTGGTCATCATGTTGGAAAATGTTTCACACATAACAATAGGTGTGAGACCCCAAATTTTAACCCACTTCACTCGGTTTCCCAAGCGAGCGCGTTACCACTGGGCTACCACTGCCTTATTTTAAGTCATGATTATTATTCGTTTGTTTCTATGTAGTAATAAATGTATATTAAGATAGCTGTATTAACATCCCCAGGTAAAATTCTAAGAAATCTATTGTTAACTGACACGCCGGCGTGCCCGCGGTCGTGGAGGGATTAACAATATCGATTGTTGAGCAATAATTATAACAATTTATAAATAAATATGTTGGGACATTAATACACAGCACCATCTAGTTCCATGGTAAGCTACGAGGCTTGTGTTATGGATACCAGATAGTTGATACACAACACATATATAACTTTAAATACATGCGTAATATAAACATTCGCGCTCATCACACAAATGAAAGCCTCTAGCGGTACTCAAACCCACGACCTCTGGCACAGCAATTAGGGTCACTACAAACTGAGCCAAACGTGTCGTCAAAATTTAAATGTACTTAATGATAATTTCTTAATACAAATACAAATAGGTAAAGACAAAACAGTTCAGTGTTTATGCCTCCTGAGTTTTAAACCGATTTTTATTGTTTAGCAGCTTTTGATGAGATTTAGTGTTATAAATAAAAAAAGACAATAATGATTTATGGTCGAATTTCACTCATTGAGTAAACACTAATTTAAATAAACCTTTAAAAGTATTTAGATATCCTAAATATTCACTTAAGTGCTAATTTTAAGTAATGAAGTCTCTCTCGTGACCATGATTGCTGTAAAACTTTCGAAACTTAGAGAACCAAAAATCAAATGAAAACCGCGAAAAAAACCGCATAGACAGTTTTATTTAGAAAACAAAATAATTATTTTCTCATACTAGGTAGTACTGTAATAAAAAAATATTTTCTCGTATTAGTTTTCTCATATTAGCTGACGAGGTGAGGTTGATTGGTACCGAGATCTTGTCCCGGAACCAATGGATCTCATTCCTGAATTACACTATCACTTAACATCAGGTTATGGAGACAACTAATTGTCGAGCGTCAATAAAAAAATACGACATAGAAAAGTGCTTGAAACAAGCATTCATGGCAGTGACACAATAAATCGTCTTAAACACATCAAAAATTGAGATGTTTACTTTGGTCTACTTTGAAAGGGATAGCATGTAAGCTAAATTATATTACAAATATTTAATGTTCAGATTGTTAAGCTTTACGTCGTCAAATGGTTTCTGCGTGTGCTTAAGCTACTTTTGAAATTGGATTTAATTATATTTGTTAAAATAAAAGCGTTTTTAAAAGCGTTTACTCGTAGAAGCCAAAAGTCTAAAACGGAATCCTTATTATTTATCATGTCCGTCTGTCCGTATATGATTACCGTTTTACTCGAAGACTATTAGAGCTAAACTGAATGGTCTCATGATCAAAAAGACAAAATAAATAGGGTATCGTTATACGTGAAACTGAGGGGTGGAAAAATAAAATATTTCGAAGTTAATGTTATGTTCAAGCCCATAGTTGCATGTGTGCTCTCTATAACTTTTTAAACATATTGTAAAAAAACACTAAAAAGTAAAAAATAACTGATTGGTAGTTTTCATTTACTATACATACCTAATCAAATATTTTCGAAGTCGGTGTGCTTTGCTTTGTATGGGCTGGCACCGATTTCGAAAATATTTGATTAGGTATGTATTTACTAGGTAGGCTTTAATTACTTAGCCAAAGCACACCGACTTCGAAAATATTTGATTAGGTATGTATAGTAAATGAAAACTACCAATCAGTTATTTTTCACTTTTTAGTGCTTTTGTTTGAAGTCAGTTTTTATTTTTTTGTTAAAAAGTTTTTATTTTTCCCTTTTTAGTGTAGACAGTAGTAACAAAGTAAGAATTCTAACGTGTTAGGCTTGTCAAATCAAACAAAATAAGCTCAAACTCAAAGTATCTACTATTAGCCGTTGAAGAGTTCCACCTATCCACCTTCTGGCCTTACCATCAGATCAGGTTAACAATACCGAACCACTGTACTATCAACGGAAATAGAAACACTTGCAAAGTTCCAAGTCAATATGACAATTAGAAGTAGGTTAAATTCATCATTAGCAATTTTTCCACCCTTAGGGGAGGTATTTTTTTTTTAATTTAAATGGGACCAATCTGGAAGTATACCCTTTAAACAACACAAAAATTGTCCAAATCGGTTAATAAAACGGAGTTCTGAGGTAACAAACATAAAAAAAAATACAGTCGAATTGAGAACCTCCTCCTTTTTGAAGTCGGTTGAAAATCTGAAAAATATGAGAAAATAATATTAATAATAATATTCTTCATTGCACACCAAAAAAGAAACAAAAAAATATAAAAAAAAAACACAAAGAAAAGATGCACAGCAGGCGGCTCTATTGCTGGAAGCGATCTCTTCAAGGCAACCTTAAGGTGGAGGAGTAAGTTTTTATAAAAAAAGGTAGGTGGTGTACTTGTTTTGACAGAAAATAGAGAAATACAGCTAAAATAATTAATTGAAACGTGAATTGTTTTATATTTACTATTTCACGCAATCGGCTGCAAAGTTAACATTGTTTCTTACGATACTATAAAAAACCACTTTATTTATGCCATCAATAAAATGTAATTGTTGAAACTAAGTTTTAAACATAAAAAATAGTAAGTTAAATTAAAACATAAATAACTCTCTACCTACCTACTAACTAAGGAACTCTCGGTGTGCATTGTAGACTCGCACTTATCTGATTTTTATAACGCTGCTTGACTTCTTAATAATAGATAAGTATCATTAAAGTTTATTTTAATTTTTAGTCATCCCATAGCAGCTACGATCATCCCACATAAGAACACATACCTAATTATGTGAAAAATATTCAACGCAGAACATTAAAAAAGGAATCGTTGTTGTTTAATGTTTATTTCATAATTACAAATATAATAATCATTAAATGTTTTTTTTTTCTAGGTTTGCCAGTTTTGATACTTGCTTCTTAACTCAAAAGAAATCATAATCAACTTCAAAATCATCTTAGAAATAATTATACCATTCGAATAGAAGAAGAAGAATGATAATAAAATGTTAAAGTAACTTTGTTACCTTATCATGATTAAACCACTAAACTGATTTCGATAAAACTTAGCAAGGACATAGTATGTATCCTGGGGAAGGATATAGGCTACACTTTATCACCGGTTTTTTACGCGAGCGAAACCGCGGGCAAAAACTAGTATCTTAATAAAACATCCATCTGAATTGAGCACTTCGTCTTTTAATCGATTAAAAAAATCCACCACTTACAAGTAGCATTTATTATAATACGACTCGTTTATTTATTTACAGTAGATAACGCTTGTTTGTTAAGCTTTTCATATATGATATTTTATAACATTTAAATAATGCGACATTAACGAAATGTATTTAAGAGTACAAAAGATGTAATTATATTTCCTATTTATATTTAATTAAAAAAAATAATCTAGTATATAATGAAGCGATTTATGCTAATAGTTTAAAAAATATATCTTGCCCAGAAATATTAGTAGAAATTGTAAGAAGTCGTTAAAAGCACAGTCAACTAATTCATGCAGGCGTTTAACGAAAGCATCAATACAAGGCAACCGTGCGAGGCGTGCGGGTTGAACCGTAAGTGAGGTGCACCCAACTATCATGCATACTTTTATATGAAAATCTTGAAATGACTCTGTTCGTCGTAGATATTACTCGTAGTATTTTGACAGCCTTATCATTTGGCGGGATTTCCGTTATGATCAAAGGCCGATCGCCTGCTGTATGGATTTTAGTACCTATTGTATTAAAAGACTGCTTAAGCTATCATCGCTTCAGTAATGGTAACAACTCATTTACATATGGACTATGGTTTCTCAAACCAGTTTAATATTTAAAAAGATAAGTGGATATTATTATTACTAAACGGACACTGTCCATCATAACTCAAAAGAGTTTTCTTAAAAAAGATACTTTTCTGAAGCTGTCTGTTGAGATATTTTGACTGCAGTAGCAAACTGAACTATGACATACAGACAGATAGACAGATGGATATGACGAAATTACTCGTATAAGGACTCCATTTTCTCATTTAGACTACGGAACCCTAAAAATAAATTGTCTCGCTTATATGTAAATGGGCCGTTGCATTAACATACGAGTATAATTGGTTTATGCTACATTGAAATAACATTCAATATCAGTATAATTATTAACAAAATTCATTAATTTCAGGCTCGAAATAAACCAGCTGATGGTGGCGGACATGTCAATCAAAAGAACGCCGCGGGGCAGAAAGCTACTCCACCATGTCAAAAAGGTAATTGAACCACTGCACAAATATCAACTACTGGCTAGATTATTATACTTATAGTCTACATCATACATAAACTATCCTTTTTTACAAGCTTTTATTTATCTTGCAATGTTTGTATGTATGTTTGTTCGGGTCAAATCTTGCAACTGAATTTTAAAGTTATCCTCAACCGTTTGAAATTTTTCATACTTCATACACGTTCAGATTAGATGACAATGTATGGTTAAATCAGTGACGTCATTCTAAATCCAACATGGCGGACTCCCAATGAAGGCGGGCTATGTTTTATTTTGATGCACCCCATGATATGGATATCAAATGAAACAATTTTCTGAGAAGAATACGAATAAATATTTTATTTCTAGTTTGATCACGTGACCCATTCAACAATGCATAATTTTAATAATAAATGCTATGCAAATCAACTGATTATAAATAAATTTTATGTGGATGTTATTTTTACAACTTCGGGGAGGGGGACGATATGATCCAAACCATGAGTTTTGTAGGTTAAATAATTTTTCTTTATTTTATATAGAATTTTCCCTTTTTTTTTTTTAACGTTGGGAAATGCATTTACGCACGACGTGTGGGACTCACCGGCGTAATACAGCCAGTACTACCCACTAAAACCTTCCCCCGTCATAATGGGGCGTCGCAGGATCGCTTACGCATTCAACTACGACGCCCCGACGGCAGGTCTGCCAAAGCAGACCACCACAACCATGGGGTTGCTCCAAGGTCCACTCTGCTATCAGAAAAGTACCAGGAGCAATCCGCAAGGTACACCGCCCCCCGAAGAGGGCCACCTCCCACCGCCCACCGAAGTGGGCAACCTCCCTGTGCGTTTCTTAGTTTCGCTACTACTACTGAGCCCCCCCACTACGACAAGGTGAACGCACGTTGGGGGGGATATTGAATTTTCCCTAGATTAAATTGCAGCAACACCTGTTATTAATAAAATTTATGCAATCGACGTTGCGACATGTTCCATATTCTACCCATAATTTTATCTACCACTATCGACAATTTTCGTTAAGAAAAGTTGAGCGACTCTTCAAAACGAAGCTACTAGTGAAGTTTCAGTTTAATATTAATCATTAAGTAATCGATCAAGAGCGATTCGAATTCACACACGAAGGTTCCGTACCAACGTACATGTACTTTTTATTGATATGACTTTTATCTATGTATGTAATATATTAACTTCGATGATCGATTATGAACGTTAAAAAAATGTTTCTTGTATTTTTTTTTCTATGTTTTTTTTTATTATTTGTTGTTATAGCGGCAATAGAAATGCATACTCTGTGAAAATTTCAACTCTCTACATATTACGGATCTTGAGTTACAGCCCTCTGTCAGACTGACGGACAGGGGAGACATAGAAATGGGGTTCCGTTGGCACCCTTCGGGTACGGAACCCTAAAAACGGAGCGGTAGACTATTAGTCCGTAAGGTTCTTGATGACATATTAATTTTTTTATTAATAGAAGCAAGATTATAAGCAAAGATATATTTAAACGATATTATATTTTTTATTGTGTTTTGCTTAACTCCTATTTTCGTTATATGTTAATAAGTTCTATCGCCTTCGCTTCACTCAAGCTTAGCTACTTGATTACAAAATATGGATTTTTCTTTGCTTTAGTGAGTACCTACATTCATGAATTATACATAATAACTAGCGACTCACCCTTGCTCCGCTCGGGTTCGTCCCTGGGGTGGGGTCTGGGAGGACCACCCTTATCCTTATCACTTAGGGGTATGAAAAATAGATAGTAGCCGATTCTCAGACCTATTGAATACGCATATAAAATTTGGTAAAAATCGGTAAAGCCGTTTCGGAGGAGTACGGTAACAAACATTGTGACAAGGAAATTTTATATATAAGATATCTTGGAAGACATTTTCTAAATGATAGTGAAAACGGTAACAAAAGTTGTTGTATAGTTCAGAAGAACATAACACACACGAACAGACGTGAATAGCGACTGTGTGTTGTACTATTTAAAAATTGTAACTTTAAAAATTAAATATGTTGCCTAAAAGCTAATAAATTAGCCAATATATGTATGTATACAAAATAATTTTGACATAGACTTGTAATAGAATATAAAAACTAAATTAGCCCCAAGTTTTATATGACCTGTCGTGTCAGCTAGTTTATTATAGACAATAAATAAATAAATATAAATATGTTGGGACATTAACAAACAGCACCATCTAGTTCCATGGTAAGCTATGACACTTGTGTTACGGATACCAGATAGTTGTTACACTACACATATATAGCTTTAAATACATATATATTATAAATCTTTACACCCATGACTGGAGTACTAACATTCGTGCTCATCAAGCAAATGAATGCCCCCAGGGGGACTCGAACCCGCGACCGCTGGCGCAGCAAGTAGTGTCACTACATACTTAGCCAAACGTGTTGTCAGATTTATATAATACATTTACTGTAAATTTTATAAATTAGATTTTACTAAAGTATTATTAACTTTTGTCTAAGTCATCTCATTTACATGAGATTCTGAAATTAGCATCCCAACTAGCACGTTAAGAAGGAGCCTGTAATAAAGCCTGTAATAAACAACAGCAAAAACAAATATAACAGAGCAGTAGATGTAATTAGTTCATACTGTGTGCATCACAATAATAACTGTAATTCTGATTAATATTTTTTTCTATAAAGGTAGCAATAGTGTTGCTTAATATTTTAACTTGAAATAATAGCAATCTAAATTAATATTTTAACTTCTTTTAAATTATATATAAAACAATAATATCGCTTAGATAAATAATTAATATTTTTATTTTTTTAATATTCTTTATGGTTATACATAATATAATAATAGCAACACTAAATAATATTGCTATATTTAAGTATAATACTTAATATTTTTTTTAAATGTTTAGAAATAGAAATCAACAAATATTGTAAGGTACTTTATTGCCATTTTTGAATTTTTGAAATCATTTTTGTAAAATAGTGGGTAATCACTGTCTGTAACAAGTATATGTGTTTGAGACGTCTGTAACGTTAGTCTCTCCCGTGACCATGATTGCTGTAAAGCATTGAAACGTCAGGAACCAAACCACAACATAAATCCGCGAAATAATCCGAAAAGATTGTTTTATTTAAAATGTCTAATATTCGCGTATATCTTAGAAAGTATTACGTTAAGAAGGCATAAGCATCAGATAGTCTAACAACCACTAGCTAACAAATATGTATCAAATACAGGAGCATCAACGAAGGGTGGTCCAAAAACACCAGTCAAGCCTTCAGCACAAAAAGGTGCAGCGAAGACGGCCCCACCTAAGCAGGCAGCAGCTGCCGCCGTCAAGACGCCGCAGGGCAAGAAGAAGAAGGGTCACAAACATCAACAGTACGAGCTCATTGTTACCATTAATTTGGTAAGTGGATATTTTTAGTACCTTTATAAGATTATAATATCATAATAGTGTGTACTAGATGGTATAATGTTAAGTTTCTTTAACTGGTTCTTCTCAAGATTTAGGCATTTGCTTTATAAATGTGTGCTAATATCTTCTCGGATGAGTAAAAGGTAGTTACTTAAATTCTTTATTTTTGTTTAATAAGAAACATAACTTCTTCAGCATAATAAACAGAGTGTTGCAGTGAAGAATCTGCCAAAAAGTAGTATTTAAAATAATAACTATGCCCTGTTATGAAAAATTAAAAGCACTTGCCAAATCTTTCATTTTAGATATTTTACTACCTATTAATTTCGCATTGTACAGTTGGTATTACGATACGTAGCTTATAAAGGTTTAGAGTATTCTGGGAAGACGTGAATAATTTACACCGGTGTCTCGTCAAATTAGGACCTCGAGCAATAAGCTATAATTAAAGAAACTATTAAGTCAATTTTAGCATAACGGAGTGGATTTATTGGTATTCCTCTGACCACATTAACTAATAATAAATGAATGACTTTGTAATGAAAATTATTTATTGTGTCACTGCGGTATGGGCAAGATCCCAACTCTTCTATTATAAAATAATTATTATATAGATGTGATTTTAAAATGAAGCCTAAAAGTTGAACATCAGTATCTAATATTGTACGTGTATAATATTTGTTCTGTCTTGTATATTTTGATTGCTTAACTGATTTCCAAAGTGACAGAAATGATTTTAATTGAACTTTTTTTATCTTTTTTATCTTAACGGGAGAGTCTCTCCCGTGACCATGGATACTGTAAAGCATTTGAAACGTCGGGAACCAAAAATCAAAATAAATCCGCGAAATAATCCAAAAAGATAGTTTTATTTAATAATGTCAAACATTCACGTAAATCTAAGAAAGTATTATGTGAACTTTTTTTAGTCGAGGACTATTTCAGAAGACATTTTTTGACTTCAAAAAAATTAATGTATTTGTGTCATAATATGTTCTCCAATTATTACGCACCGATTTATATGATATTATTTTTAGTACATAGTTTATATCTCAAAGCAAATATCGTCACTAAACCCCCTATAAACTAAAACCCCCGCAGTGTAATAAGGCCAACATAAGTTTATAAAAGAATTTCATAAATCTGCATTAAACCTGCATGCTTCATAAGCTGCTGTAGGATTATTAATTTATAATACAACTATAGTAAGAAAATTTAAAAAAAACAAAAAAGTGTCCCTTTGGAACAGCGCAAGAGGTTATATAAAGTTGTTATTACTGTGCAGAGAGATACTATGTATTTATTACCATCCATTTATCGTTTGCTTCGCCTGGCTGCGTCCCTAGGTAAGTTTTAATTTGTTTTGAGTGAATTCCTAATCCATTTTCTATAATAATGGTAGCCTATGTTAATACTTATAACATCAGCTGTCTACCAGTAAAAGTCCTGTCAAAATCAGTTCAGCCGTTTTGGAGATTAGCCGACAGACAAACAAACAGACAGATAGACAAACCGACATACAAACAAAAAAAAAACAAAAAATGGGTTTTTCTTATAAGTTTTCATGCGACTCACCCTCGCTTCGCTCGGGTTCGTCCCTAGCTTGATTCCTCATACAAACTTTCATCCCCATTTTCACCCCCTTAAGGGATGATTTCTGGGATAAAGTATCCTATATCCTTCCCAGGGTCTCAAACTATCTTCTTACCAAATTTCGTCTAAATGAGTTTAGTAGATCCAGAGATTACCCCCTACAACGTCACAAACTCACAAACCCACAAACTCACAAACTCACAAACTTTAACTCTTTATAATATTAGTATAGATATAGATTACAGAACACGATGGGCATACATATACATTTTGATTTGAGTCAAATACGTATACGAGTATAAGAATTTGAAATCGATTCGGCTATTTTCTTAACATTGTAAAGTTTCACCAGAGTCGTACATGTCTATACATATGTACGAGTATTATAATAAAATTGTAACTAAGCCGAATCTGGACATTAAATATTTTATGGAAAATTTTATTGAAATAAACTTTATATATTATCGATACAGAGGCAGACTCTATTGTTTTTAAAAATTTTGTCTCATGTCTGTGTGTCTGTCTGTCTGTCTTTCTGTCCGTTACCGCATCACAGAAAAACCACTGGAGGGATTTTGATGAAATTTGGTATGGTGATAGCTGGTTATATCGATAAACATTATTATAGGATACTTTATACCGCAGAAAAAATTTTTATTTCTGAGAAAAAAATACAAAAACTGCATTGTAAGAGTATACTAATATGTAAAACCTAAGAATTTGGTTTTTGATCATCTGAACGCGGGCGGAGCCGCGGGCTATGATAGTTTTCTAATAAATTGTAACTAAATCTATTTAAAATATACAAGTTTTGACATATGATGCTGGCTTTTTCTGAGATATCTTACACGATAAAATAAAGAAAGTTATACATTCGCTTTATATACTCGTAGATTATATTATTTAGTCAACATAATTTTTAAGTTCATTAAAATATCAATTTAATTCAATTCATTTTTCTTTATAATAGCTTCAAAGCGTGCCGTGTAAATACATAACAATTTATACATAAAATAAAATTCTGAGTCGAATCTGTACACTATAATATTTTTATCTTTATATATATAATTCTTCTGTGAGTGTGTATGTCAATGAACTTCTCTCAAACGACTGGACCGATTTTGATGAAGAAATTTTCAAATTAAAGACGTGTAGACAGGACTACGTCTGTCGGGTCCGCTAGTATACTATAAATAGTCATTATTATCGACATAGAGTCCGAATCTATAGTTCTCAAATTTTTTATCTGTCTGTCTCTCTGTAAACTCATCACGAGAAAAGTACTGGACTGGTTTTGATGAATTTTGGTGTGATGATTGCTGGTTATTCAGGTCAACATACTATAGGACACTTTTCACTGCGGGAGAATATTTCATCTCTGAGAAATCTACACTAACCTTTAACACGTAACTAGGGACGAAACCGAGCGGAGCGAGGGTGAGGCGGTAGTGTATGTATTTAATACGAATAGCTAAAATATATAAGGACCGATTTTATGAAGTCACATAATCTCACCCTATAAAGATCAGCTCAATAGTTGTAAAAGATTGAACTGTTTGTCATCGTAAAGTGAAATATGTTACACAAAGGATATATTTAATGGTGTAAGATAAAATAAGACACTGAAGTGCAATAGCAATATATCTCGATTATCGAATAAATAAGTATGTTTAAAGTGCTTGGATTTCTATGTAAAGTACAGATTATTATTATTATTAGTCAATAGTAGGAGATCCCGACCATGTGATAGGTCCCTCACTCTTTTTCTAGGCTAAATATATTTTTTAAACAATAAAATATATTAACAAACATGGCCCAGGGGATTTGTCACCAAAAATTTGCTCCAAGCTATTTTTAAATAAAACATTTTTAATTGATTTTTAAAGCCTTGTGCTTTACAACTCTTTTCCTGTGACAACTTAGTATCAATTGAAAGTAAAAGACTTATGGAGAGTACCATCATACGGTTAGTGGCCTTTTTCGAATCCACATTACCTGACATCCAGATAAATTGAAGTAGTTAATTGCTCGTACCGGATTGTATTTTCCGGAACCAAGTACCAAAATGTAGATAATTTTATTACAAATTTAATAATATAGGATTGTTATACCAAAACATATCCAGACTGAGGTTTTTTTAATTAAAAATAACCTGCAGCTAATATTGGGCAACAACCCCCCTAGGTCATGTTTGTTAATTTTTATGGTTTAAAAAATATACCTATTTCGCTTGAAAAATAGTGAGGGGTCCACTACTTAAATCGGGACCATAGACTATAACTAGTGAAAATCTTTAAAGTAATAAAGTTATTTAAGAAATTCATTTACTTATCTTTTAAAATCTACACTACATACTCGTATGTAGTTATAATCAGAATTACTTGAAATTCGGAATTAATGTTCTTCAATAAAATTAACTAAATACGAGTTTTAGCATTTTTCGAATTTCATCCTATAAGGGGGTAAAATAGGAGATGAAAGTTTGTATGAAACTACCTTTTTCGAGATTTTTTTGTAGTTTTAGCGCAAGCGAAGCCGCGGGTTCTGCTAGTATTTAATAATTAAACTCTTAGATGTAGATATAGTGCATATAATATGCTATTTTTCTAAATAATCTGTTTTAAAACATTCTACCCCAAACAAAATTAAAGAGTTTTTGTTTCAATAGTTTTCTTTATCAATTAATAATGAAACTTTAGTATCAGAGTCAACCTATTATACCAGATGTCAATACTACTTTTTGGTATTTTATTGTCATGTGAAACCACGTTACTAATAAGTATATTATATCATAATATCTTCAAAAACCAGTCTTAAAATTAGCTTTTCGCAACGGGCTATAATACGAAAGCGACAATACTTAAACTCTAATTTCATTCAAGTCTTCTCACATAAAGTAAACGATCACGACCGTTTCATCTTTCCAAACACTTCGCAAGCGGCTATTCAGCTCTGGAATAGATTTACGACGAGATGTATTCGTGTTTAATAGCTACGTTGGTGTCTTTGAAAATGACTTGAAACATTTTCTTATAGTGTGTCAAATGCTTTTTTACAAGTACCTAACTACTTTTCTACTTATAAGACACACAGCGTATAAAAAATTTAAAATCATTAATTTCATTAGGGACCAATTTTTTCAAATATGAAGACCTATGTATATCTAAGAAAATGTATGTATGTAGTCAGCCCTTTTTAACGTCCCACTGCTGGGCATGGGGCTTCCTTCAGTACGAGGGGAATCAGGCCATAGTGCACCACGCTGGCCAAGTACGGGTTGGTGGAATTCACGTGTCTTTTGAAAACTTGCTAGGTTCTGTAAGACATGCAGGTTTCCTCGTCGTCAATAGCTACTAAACAAAAAAAAAGCAAAAAAGAGGGGTGTTATACATGTAACT